TACTACTACTACTACTACTACTACTACTACTACTACTACTACTACTACAACTACTACTACTACTACTACTACTACTACTACTACTACTACTACTACTACTACTACTACTACTACTACTACTACTACTACTACTACTACTACTACTACTACTACTACTACTACTACTACTACTACTACTACTACTACTACTACTACTACTACTACTACTACTACTACTACTACTACTACTACTACTACTACTACTACTACTACTACTACTACTACTACTACTACTACTACTACTACTACTACTACTACTACTACTACTACTACTACTACTACTACTACTACTACTACTACTACTACTACTACTACTACTACTACTACTCTACTCCTTATTCCTTATTAGAATATACTCCTACTCCCCCCTCAGGCCGGCAGATAGGGGCCGCATCCGGGTGGTCCCATCCTAACCTGTAAAAAACAATACAAAATCAACATTTTTCTTATTTTTTCCTCTCGACATGGACGTCCTGTCGTCCACGGCGATAATCCATTGCAAAACATACCACAAAGAGCACACGCGCGCGTTCATGTCATAATCCTACTGAACACCGTGTGTTTGCAAGCATTTCAACATAAAAACAGCAAAAACCCAATGCTTTTTCACAAAAATTCTACAAATTTCCTGCCCGGGCTCTCTTGTTGAAATCATAGGAAAACCACAGGAATCTTAAGAATTCTGTCAAATCCAGCGATTTCACGTCATCGCGCGGTGCACTCGCGATGCTCTGTCATGCACCCAGGCCGCGAATCCTGTGCAAAAAAATACCACGCGGGCGACATGCGCGCGCGTCGCCGCGAGCGCATGCTCAAATCCTTCTAGAGTCGTCGCCGTCATCGTTGCCGTCGTGGTCGTTGCCGTCGGCAACCGCCATCGCGGCCGCATCAGCTGTACCAAACCGGCTGGCCGGTGTGACTTCGGCCCCCAGTTGTGCCAGCTTTGCTTCTTATGTTGTGGGAGGGCGGGTGGGACTGGGCATGCCATGCTTGACTCGCTCGAGCTGGCTAGCTTGACTCCTACTCCTACTCCTACTCCTACTCCTATTCCTCATCCTTCTCCTCCTCCTCCTCCTCCTGCTCTTCCTCCTCCCCCGTCCTGCTCCTCCTCCTCCCCCGTCCTCCTGCTCCTCCTCTCAAGCAGTGGCGAAGCGTCCCGGCGTGCCTATAGACCTGCCAAACAATGTTCTAAGAACCTTTTGTGGGCTGCACGAAATGATACTAGAACATTTCTGGCTGGGACTGTCTTGTTTAAACACATCGGTCTTACATTCTAAGAACATTGTTTTTGTTACTGGAACATATGGGGGTTCTAAGAACATGTCGTGGTAGGCCTATAGGAATGCCAGGACGGTCGGTCCCTGCACAATCCTCCCCCTCCTCTTCCTCCTCCTCCTCCTCCTCATTTTCCTCTTCTTCCTCCTCCTCCAGGTGGCTCCCTACATGAATACACCACCTTCGCCACCTCACGCACACCGCGTGGCGTACACACATACGCGGGCCGCATGCGCTCTCATATGGAGCCCGTGACGGCAGCTTCTGCCCGATCCTCCCGCGATGTCGACGATGGGTGGGCTGCTTCGTGCCATTTAGTATAACCCATGCGCGGCGCGCACACATTTGCTGCATACCCAACAGGGACGTGTCCACGTTGATTGGCACGCAGGCGCGTTTTTTCGGACATATCGCGAACGATTTTCGAATGGTTCAGAAGCGTTGGAGTATTCGGCTACATGAGGGCCCTCGATCACACCGTTTTGTGTACTCACATAATGTTTGAAGCGTTCTAGTTTCGCTCGTGCTTGCGCACGACACCCCAAAGCAGCTTTGGGGCCGATGCGGTGCTTTCACAGTGCAGTATGGAGATGTTCCTCTTGGATATATCGGCGTGTATTTTCCGCCCCGGAAAACATCGAGAGTTTTGCGACCGATCTACGAGAAGTCGATTCAGCTGATGATAGATGGGCTAAGTGGCGTAGCACAGGAGATGTCACAACGGCGAAGAGTACTGATGATAATTCCTGATTTGACTGGTGGTCTCTGCCACAGCTCAGAGAACACGGTCGCTGGGCCACACGCTTGCGGATGCGAGTCTACTGCGTCATCAGTTGCGTCCTGTCTTGGCAGGTTGGAACATGATCGCCACCAACACATGATTCGTCAACCCGCCTTCTCGCATTGGAAACAACGCAGAACCGTACATCGACCACGCATGTGCACCACAGGAGTCCATGCAGAGCGCTGAGAAATGCCAGGCCGTGTGCACAGCAGGGCGTGCTCTACAGCTGCACGACACACATCGAGCGCAGGACCATCGGCCGCTACAGCTATCGGTACACATCACCTTCACCAAGCGCCGCTTGCCAGGCAGAGCAGAGAGGCCCAACCGCGAAGCCCTACCATGCTACCTACAACAGGGATATAAGCTACAGGAGATGTTCGACGAGATGGAGAGACGAATCTGCGAGAAGTACGACGAGCTGAACGAAGTAGAAGCCCGAGAGGATGTCGACCAGGTGAATAGGACATGTGTGAGTAGCTTGAATCAGGCATTGGCGAACATCTTGGACAAGAGCCCCCTGCACACCAAGACCATAATCGGTTCTATTGAATCACTCAAACAAGTTGTGGCTAATCGGCGTAGCTTACGACTTTCGAGATCGGGCCCCGTGATGCAGCAGCACTTTCAGTTTGCATCACAATTCATCCAGAAGCCTCGCAAAAACCTGAAGTGGACGGCGCAACAGCATTGGACGAACATTACCAAGCGACGCGTCGAGGAGCTCAACCACGTCGTCAAGGCGAACGACAGCTTCTTAGTTCAGCGATTGGCCAGGTTGGTTGCTGGAAACCGACGAGGACCCAGACAACGCAAGTTCGTTGGTCTTCCTTCTTCTGCGGCGTCGGCAAGAGGCCGGAGCGTCAGAATGGCACGGCCATCGGGGCAAGGCTGTCGCTCGGCCAGACTGGCGACGATTGAAGAGATCATTGGCTGACGCCGCACCGCCAACCCCTATGGGGGGGCAGCAAGAGTGAAAAACGGAGTTTGCGGAACACGCGCGATTTCTATGGAATCTCGGGGTTTCAGCTTCTTGGGGTTTCGTCGGCGGCGGTGGGCGGATCGCGGCTCTGCTCTTGAGATTATCTGGGCTCTCCTGGCAGCGCGTCTGAAGCCTCTTGGGAGCCGCGTTGAGGCCTCTAGGGGCCTTTGGAGCTTCTCGGGGGCATCGTGGGAGCCTCTTTGGGGCCTCTTGACGCCTCCTCCGGTATTTCGGGGGCCGAGCGCTCGGAATGTCCAGTCGGGTTCCCCCTCTGGGCCTCCTCTTGGGGTCGTCCTGGGGCCCTCCTGGGCCGTTTGGGAGGCTTCTGGGGCCGTCTCGGGGCCCTCTTGGGCCGTTGAGGAACCCTCTCGGGGGCCGCCAGCAATATCATAGAGAGCAACCTCGTAGGAGGTGCGACGCCAGACAAGCTGGAGCAAGGCAGCGCGCTCGAGAACATGTCGGCCGACACTGGTACGAACAGCATCGGAGCCTCGCAGAACACTAACGAACAGGAGAATGCAGCGCGCGCAAGAGGTGCCAGAGCGCACATTGCAAGCACATTGATCCACAAGCAGAATAGCAACATAGCAGGCAAAACGATGCATCACGCTAGAAAGCCAGGCGCGCAGTCAAGCGCATTCACGCCGGCCCCAGAATTAGCGAAAAGACGTCGGGCCCCCACGCGGGCCATTACTCCTCGGGCAAAGTCTGGGCCACCAAGGGCGTCAAATTCGGGGCCAAGAGGTCCACGCTCAAAGGTCTTCTCGTCAACGCCGCGCTCAGCTGACTAGAGGTAATCGCACAAGACGCGGAGCCGCTCACCAGTAGCGATCTGACCACGCTGGAGTCCTTGATCGCACGCAAAGGCCGCGCGACTCTTGGGGGCACAGCTTGAGGGGCCGACGTGGCCGAGCACGTTGTCAAGCGTCCTGCCCGCGACGATTTGAGACAGTTTGGAGTGGCACCCTGCGCCTCGAGCTCAGGATCAGAAGATCGACGCGGCCGCAGAGCACGGCCAGGGAACGCGACAGCAACCGGCAGCTTTTAGTTGCAAGCTTCGGGAGATATCCGATAGATGGCGTTGCGTCTAGTGAGAGTGGAGCTCTATACGCTCACGCTCATCCTTGGGCACGCCAGCTAGAACAAGGCGTTCTCGCACTTCGCAACGCAGGAAGTGACAATAACATGTGGGAGTCGGGTGGGGGTTCATGTAGCGCGTTATTCGAGGAGTCCGAGGAAATCCTCAATTTTGATTGCGACGAAATGCGAGCAGTTTTGCTTACTTCAAAGACCCGAAACCCAGTGGGGCACCAGGTCGCTGGAGATGAGCTCATATGTCATGAGCTATTGGAGGACGGGGCGAGATGCAACAGTAGGTGGTCCACTACACGTGCCCGAATTAAACGCATCGCGAACGCGATCGGCGGCGCGCGCGGCAGACTTAACATCGCACGCGCACTGGCGATCACCAGCAGCTGCCCGATCCGTCACTGCGCGTTTGGAGATAAGGACGTTGCCAAACGACGCATACATGCGAGCCAACTGCCCCGCTGGTCGCGGACGCTTCGAGGGCAAAACAGCTGCGCCGAGCGCGATGTCGCGCGCAACGTGCGAAGGAACATTCGACGACCTGTCGCTCTGGCAGAATGATGCTCGGGGACATTTAGCTCCGCCACTGCAGCCCGACTTCGACTCGCACGGACCTCGCGGAAAATTCGCGTCTGAGACCCGGGCTGCGCCGAAGTCCACGGAGCGCAGCTGGAAGAAGATTTGCGCCGAGGAGCTGGCCCCGCAGCATGTGGGGCCCACGCGCGGGACACGACGAGGAGAAGAGGGAAGGGGAGCAGCGCCCAAGGGATGGTCGGCGCGAGACAGGCCCCAGAGCTTTGCGGCAGCAGGATCACGCCCCAAGCCGGCCAGACTCGAATCGACGAGCACGGAGGCCGACGAGGGCGAGGAAACAGACCAGGAGATGATCAGCACCACGCGGGCGCTAATCGCACAACTCGAAGCGAGGGTCCGACTTCTGGAACGAGAGTCGATGAGCACGGCCATCGTAGACCGCAAGCATCAGATCGCGACCGACGGCAACAAGGCATATCCGGCTTTCGTGAGAGCTCGCATGGCGGACCCAGCGACGGCTTTAGGCTCGCCAGCCTCCTGGGCGGCCCACGGCGCTCTGATCGTCTTGAAAGATTGGCCATCCAAGGACACCTCGGCGAGACGCTCCAAGACGAAGTTCGCGACGAATCTGCCCGTCGCCACGATCAGGGCGCCGGGCCTAGATATCGCCGCCACGCGAATCGAAGAAGCAACGGCATTCCCGACGCACGACAAACCAAGGTTCACATTCAAGTTCCTCGGTCAGGCAATGGTTCTCGACGAAGAAGGCCCGCGCCAGGAGTTGCCAGCGGCGACGCAAGCAGTGGATCACGCCCTACACCCCGCGAGCCCCAGAACTGAAGATCAAAGGTGCCCCGTTCGAGGTCGAGGCCGCGCCGGGGGGGCAGATCAGGTACAGCGGCGGCAAACTGACTACGAGCGAAGCACCTCGCGGCAATCTCGCCTGGAAGTTAATGCCCAAGAGGAGGCGATTAACATGCGCACCCACATGATTGAATAGTTTCTAACACGTGGGAGGTTGTGGCCGTCTCTAGGCACCCCGCCCGTTCGGCGCCGGGCGCTGCCGCGCACCGCAGATTCGCTCTGCGCCGCGCGCCGCCACTTACCACCGTCCGTTGGGGTGGCACGCGCTCGGAGTTGCCGCGCGTGCACGCTCCCTTCTAACATGCGCACGTGCGAGATTGGATGGTTCACGCGATGTCTGCATCGACAACACCGAGTTCACCTCGTCAGTTTTGTTCATTCGACATCAAGATGTTGCCACGCCGTTTGTTCCGACGCGCGGCCTTGCGTCTTGGGGAGGACGCCGCGGCCACCAGGGCAAGCGTCGCCTCGGACGCGGTGGTTCGCCGTGGGTTCGCCGCGGTGCGGCCGTCGTCTTTTTAGGCGCGGGACGCAGGGTTTGCCGTGGGTCAGCCGTGGTGTCGGCGTCGTCCACTTGGGCACGTCGAGAACAGCCGGCGCGGCGACAGATGATTTTCTCCGCCGGGGGATGGCACAATCGCCGGACTCGTGTCGCGCGGGGGACGTCGGGCATGTTTGGCCCTTCCCGGCGAGGTAACATTTGCACCGGGCGGTTGCTGCGTCGGTGCGAGTTGTGTCTTTCGCGTCATTTGTCCGCACAAATCATGCCAAAATTATATCCTTCCCCCGGTCAGCATACTTGTGTCTTGCGAGTGTGTAAATGGGGAGGCGAGGTACAATGGGCAACACCGAGGTACAGTGTCATCGCGATAATGAGGGGCAGAGGTACGCGCCACGAGGTCGCAGAAGAGCTTCCGATTAGCTGCGGGGCTGCGGGGGCGCGGTGGAAGTAAAGTCGGTATCATCCGAATGCCCGCTCATCGCCGCTCCGCTTCACCCCCCAGGGGTCCAGGACACGGCAACAGGTGCACGCGTGGCACTACCCTGCGAGGCCAGGTGTATTCTTGATCTTCGCAAGGCAACCAGCTTGGCAACATAATCCCCCCATTCCTTACATCTCTCATGATCATCCCTCCTCGTTCAGTGTTGTTTCCTCAGTTTCCTTCCTCGCCTTTGCAGGGAATTGGAAGGACATTTTTCTGTTCGACCTCGGGCAGTAGTTCGGGCGCAGTGGGGTTCACAGCGGCCTCGTTTGCGGCTGCACGGCACGAAACTGTTTGGCGGCAGGCACAACAGTCTTCACAGGGTCAAGGGCACGCAATGACGGGGATCCGAGAATCGCCTGTGAGCAACGCAGGACGGGTCCAGGGCAGGATCCTGGAGGGGCCTAGGGACGGCGCAGATTTTGGCATAGCCCTTTGAGTGCACATCGTTCTCAGGATCGATTCGCTAGGATGTCAGCTTCCATCTCGAGAAATATGTTGCTTGCGTGCGGTGTTGCGCTGGCCGTGTCTCTTTGATTGCACGTCACTGTGGCCCTCAATGCGCCGAGTGCCAATCGGTTGAAACAAAGTTCCAGACGGACGGGGCGTCACGAACTCGGTGCGCTACCGCGCGCTCGCGTTCGGCAGTTGTGCCATACCAAGTGCTACGAGACAAAGATTGGCCCAGGAGGCCAGTGGACACATAGATACATCTGCGTCTATGTCTGAATATACATATGCGCATACACATATACATACATGCAAGCATGGACGTATGTACGTCGATCTAGATACACACGCACCCACACACACACAATCGTACATTCACACAAACATATATACATACATACATACATACATACATACATACATACATACATACATACATACATACATACATACATACATACATGCATGCATGCATACATACATACATACATGCATACATACATACATACACACAGGCATACATACATACATACATGCATGCATGCATGCATACCTACCTACCTACCTACCTACCTACCTACCTACATACATACATACATACATGCATGATTGCATGCATACATGCATGCATGCATGCATGCATACATGCACACACATGAATACATGCATGCACACCTACATGCATACATTCATACATACATGCATGCATGCATGCATGCACACATGCAGACATGCAGACGTGTATGCATACATGCACACATGCATGCATCCATGCATACACGCATGCATTATGTACATTAATACATGCATTCACGCGTACATGTATATACATACCGACATACATTATAAATGTGTAACTATACATACATACATACATACATACATACATACATACATACATACATACATACATACATGCCTACCTACCTATCGACCTACCTACCTACATGCATGTATACATACAGATGTGCATGCATGCATGCAGGCGGACATGCCTGCATGCATACATACACGCATACACAGTTACACGCATGAATACATGCATACAAACATACATGTGTATATGCATGCGCACATGCAATGCATGCAATGCATGCATTCATACATGCATGCATACATGCGTACGTACGTACCCCCGCGAGGCGGCACGAGCCGAGATCGACAGGGAGCTGGAGCGAGAGGCCGGGGACTCCGCGGAGATCGTGGCGCAGAGCCGCAAGAAGCGGAGACCCGCCGGGCTTCTCCTCCTCCTCACCCTCCTCCTCCTCCTCCTCCTCGTCCTCGTCATCCTCCTCCTCCTCCTCGTCCTCGTCCTCCGGCTCCTCGTCCTCCTCGATATCGTATCCTCCTCATCAGCGCTTCCTCCTGTGGCCGCGGGGGCGGGGGCGTACAGGAACAAGCCGGCACGATCGGCACGGGTACGGAAAGAATGGTTACGAAGACCGAGAGCACGTTTTGCTTCCTTCGAGACAGAAGGCCGCTTTGGGGGTGTCGAGGAACAAGCCCGCATGATCGGCATGGGCACGGGAAGAATGGTTACGAAGACCGAGAGCACTTCCTGCTCCCTTCGAGACAGAGGGCCGCCTGCCCAGCAGCGGCCGCAGTCGGTGTTGGACAGCATCTGCTGTCGGGCATCGTCCCATTTTTCCCGTGCCCATTCGGGCGTCCTGAACAGGGGGGAAGAAGGACCAGACACCCAACCCAGACATCCTGCGTCTCGATTTTCCGAGACACGGGCTCGCGACCTCTGGACCATTTCCCCGGGACCGGCTCTTCACCCCGAGTCGTTTTTGGACGCTCCCGAGGCCTGGCATGGGCCTCGAGCGGCCAAAAACTACGAACATAAAAACAAAAAGAACACGCCTCGATTTTTTCGAGACGCCGAGGCTTGGCAAGGGCCTCGAGATGCCGAAAATTAAAAACTATGAAAATGACAAACAAAAAAAAAAAAAAAAAAACGCCTCGAATTTTTCGAGACGCCTTGGCTCAGAGCAGGGCGGCGGGCTGGGGCCCTCTTGGGCCTCCGGTGGGCTGCTGCTCGGCCCCCCGGGGCCACCAAGAAGAAGCGGCTCCCGGGCGAGGCGCCGGCACCGGGAGAAAGCGCAGGGAGAGGACTGAGGATCCAGGTCTCCTCCTCCTCCTCCCCCTCCTCCTCCTACTCCTCCTCCTCCTTTTCCTCCCCCTCCTCCTCCTCCTCCTCCTCCTCCTCCTCCTCCTCCTCCTCCTCGTCCTCATCCTCCCCCCCTCCTCCTCCTCCTCCCTCCTCCTCCCCCTCCTCCTCCTTTTCCTCCTCCTCCTCCTCCCCTCCCTTCTCCTCTTCCTCCTCCTCCTCCTCCTCCTCCTCCTCCTCCTCCTCCTCCTCCTCCTCCTCCTCCTCCTCCTCCTCCTCCACACCTGGGCCCGCCGCACCGCCCTCGGCCGGCCCTCGACCTGCTCCTTCCGCGCGGCAGGTGCGAAGGGATAGGATTTTGGGGAAGCGAAGGGAGGCGAAGGGAGAGGATTTCGGGGCTCAAGTTGCGGGGGTCAATGCAAACGGGGGTCAGCCAGAGCGCCAGATCTTGCAGCATCCTGCACAGCCAGGGGTGCGTTGACTGGGACCTGGGCCTGCAGGATCGTGCAGGATTTTGCCGGGTCTTGCAGGATCCTGCAACGCCTGCCTGACCTGGGTTTGCATTGGCCCAGGTCAGTGCGTCCCCGAGGACAGAGGATCCAGGTCGCCGGAAGGGGCGCGTTTCGTCTTCGAGGCGTCAAGAAACGACTCGGGATAAAAAACTGGTCCCGGGGAATGGGTCCGGACCTCTGGGGGTCGCGTCATATCATGAACAAATCATGACGTCGGGGGTCTGGGGCCCCTCCACCCTCGACCAACCCTCGACCTGCACCTTCCGCGCGGCAGGTGCTGCTGCGGCTCGGGCAGCGAATGGAGAGGATTGAGGGCCCAGGTCGCCCGAAAGGGCGCGACGAGGTAAGCGACGGACGAGGAAGGGGGTCGGGCGTCGAGGACTACGCTGGCATCGAGGCCCTACACACCAACGGCGCATGATAAGCCACATGGTCGGCAGGGCGCGACGCGGCAACCCCGCCGCATTCTGAGAGACAGGGACGGCACGACACGGTTCGCGGGCACGGAACGTCACGGCTAAATTCCCGCATCCTCGAGACCACGAGAGGCACGGCGCGGCACGGCAACTTCCTCGCGCTCTCGAAACCAAGCGCACGGCACGGCACGCGGGCACGGCACGACGCCTTGCTCGCACCTTCGGCACGCGGGCACGGCACGACGCCTTGCTCGCACCTTCGGCACCGTTAGCACGGCACGGCGCAGGGGCACGGCACGACACTCCTTCTCGCGCTCTCGCAGCCAAGCACACCACGCGGGCACGGCGCGGCACGGCAGGTGCCGCGCACTGCCGCATCGGGGCACGGCGCGACGCGCGGGCACGGCCTCACGCGGCGCGCCAGCCGCACCTTCCGAGACCCGGCGCGGCCCGGCGCGCGGGCACAGCACGGCACGCTGCTCGCCCTCTCGGCACCGACGCACGGCGCGCCACGCGGGCACGGCACGCCACGCGAGCACGGCACGACAGCAGTTCCCCGCCGCTTCCACACCGAGCACGGCACGGGGCACGGGATGGCATGGCACGGCGCACTTCTCACGCGACCGAGGCCAGGCACGGCACGGCACGGCACGCGGGCACGGCGCGGCTCGGCAGCCAGTCGCGGCACGGCAACGGTTCGTTACCAGCCACAGCAGTTTGGCAACCGGCCACGGCACGGTGCGTTGTGGCAGCGCGGCAGGTGCATCGGGCTCTGGAGAGCGCAGTGGCCTTCCTCGTTGTGAGCATTGAGGCCCCGAGTAGCGTTCGCCGTTCAGGGAAGAGTGGCGAATTTGGAGATCAATGGTCGGGGTTCCCAGGGAACTGTGGACGGCGGCACGGCAGGGCACGAGGAGGCACCACAATCGCATTCAGGGCACGCACGGCGCAGCACGGCCACTTCTCCAACAAAAATCAGCATCTGGGCACGGCGCGGCACCGCTGCCGTGCAGCAGCTGCCCCACAAGCTGAGACATGAGCACGGCATGGCGACTTCCCCGCACTCTGCAACCTACGTAGGCCCGACACGGCGCGACAGCGCAACTTTTTCTCACCGCCTGGAACGTAGGCACTGCACGGCATCAAAACCGCATGTTGGAAATTGACTGAGACACGAGGCACATCGAGGCACGGCACGGCACCACGCGCAGGCACGGCACGGCACGGCGGCGCACCACGACAGCGACACCTGCAACGCGTTCTGACAAGCAGGCGCGGCATTGCACAATGGCACAGCACGGCACGGCGCCACACGCAAGGGTGGCACTCTGGAGATTTTGCGCGGCACAGCGGCCCGGCACGGCGCGGCACCGAAGCTGCACTCTGGAAATTGAGCACGGCACGGCAGGACGCCACGGCATGGTGCCGAGGTCGAGTTTAGAGAGGTGTGCACGGCACGGCACGGGCACGACGGCACGGCATTGCACGGCACCGCGGTCGCATTCTGGGGATTGCGCATGGCACGGCACAGCGGAGCGGCACGGCGCGGCACGGTACCAAACTTGCGCCCTGGAAGCGCGGCGCGGGGCGGCGGGAAGATCGAATGGCGGAGCGTGGCGCAACCGACATCACAGGCTGGATACAATGGGTACGGTGCGACGGGACGGCACGGCCCAGCGCGGCGCCGAGATCGCATGCTGGAGATTCGGCACGGGCACGGCGCCAACATCGCACCACTGAAATGTGGCACAACATGGCACGGCACGTCGCAGATTGGAAGTCAGGCGCGGGGCGATAGCACGGGAATGTTTGCTCGGAATCTGGAGACCAGGCTGGTTTCTCTTCTTAAGAAGAACGCGACACTTTACAGCATTCGCTGCTTAGGGAATCAAGGCCGTCCTCCCCCCTCCCCTCACCTCTTCTGCAGACCATGAGTGCTGCATGGCGCGTTTTCCCCATAATTTGTTATTGACTAGATGCGACTGTGAGAGGTAGGAGTTGCGCACGGGTGTCTCACACAGCGTGCGCAGTTTCATGTCAACCCCCATACGCGCAAGGCCGAGTTCCATCCTATTATATCCCTCCTACTTTTCCACCTCCTCCTCCTCCTCCTCCTCAACCCTTCCCCCCCGAAGCAGGAGGAGGCTTCCCCAGAGAGAGTGGAACAGGAGGTGAATCGAGGATAAAGGTGTTCGGCCTCTAGGGGGCTTCCGCAGGCCTCTGAGGACGGCCCCGCCTCCGGGGATTTGTGAGGACGGGGGGCAGGAGGAGGAGGTGGAGGAGGGGGAAGAGGAGGAGGAGGAGGAGGAGAAGGAGGAGGAGGAGGAGGAGGAGGACGAGGAGGAGGAGGAGGAGGACGACGAGGATGAGGAGGAGAGGGAGGAGAAGGAGGGCGAATACAGTCAAAGCGCTGAAGGGAGAAGCCACGGCGTGAGGAGGGCTCAGAAGCGGCCGTGCTGCGGAGGCCCCAGAGGCCAGACCGCCCCCGCTGCAAGGCGGTGAGGGGACGGCGACGGCGGCGAAGAGAAAACGGGAGGGGGCAGGAGAAGAAGGAGGCGGCATACTCATTCCCCTCGTTCGTCCCCGCCGCCACCTCCTACGGCTCCTCCTTGTATTCGTCCTCCTCCTCCTCCTCCTCCTCCTCCTCCTCCTCTTCCTCGTTCCCTCCCTGTCGTCGTATTATTCCTCCTCCTCCTCCTCCTCCTCCTCTTCCTCCTCATCCTCCTCCTCGTTGTATTGGCGGGCCGCTCTTCTCGTTTCGCTGCACATCAAGTAGTCGCGTTCATCAGTGGATCGCAGGTGTTCCTCATCTTATTTCATCTTATCGTTCTCTTGGCGCTCATTATGCTGTTGTCGCTCCTCCCGCCCTCCTCTCAGCGGGAAAATTATATACGTGCATGTTGCAGTAGATATCGGTCATAAATCGATGGCCTTCGCGATGCTCTCTGCTCCGTTTCCTCCTCCACTCTTGGTTTCGCATCCCGCGCGGTAGGAATTCGGCCACGTGTTCCCATCTTCCGCCATGATCAGCTTGGCTAGTCCTGCTGTATCGTACCCCTTTTTCCCCTCCATGTCTGCACACGTTGCTTGGCAAGTCTATCATGCATTATCGTTCCTCCTGCTCGTCCTCCCTTCCTTCTCTCCCTCATCCCTCATGCGATGAGCCATTACCCATCCTCCTTCGCCCCCTCGTCGCCATCAGGAGAAGGGATCAGCTGGTCAAAAAGAGCCTGGACGAAGTTTTGAAGAGGTCCTACGAGGACGACGAGCGCCCAGGCAACCTCCCTGCCAAGCGGGACGTCTATAACGATGTCGGCATAACCGCGACGGAGGTGGACGCGTACTGGTCGCGGCGCGACGAGTCGTCCCAGGGCTTCATCGACAAGTTCCTCGGCCCCGCCTACATTGTGCTGATCGTGGTCGTCGGCCTGCAGATCTGGTCGATCTACGACTCAAACGTCAACCCGCAGGAGTACACCGTGTCGTCCATGGTGGGCCGCGACTGAGCGCACAGCGCTCCTGACGGCACCATCCCGCGGACGCACATTGGCTCTGCTGTCAATGGCCGTGGTTGCTGCTTCGTTCGCGCAAGACGGTTTGTCTCAATGCTCGGTGGGCAGAAGGTATTGCGTCGACGGGCGACGAGCGAGGGGGGGGGAAGTGAGGAGGAGGAGGAGGAGGAGGCCTTCTCAGAAGACGGCGGGGCGTCTCAGAAGTTCACCGGCCTTATGAGAAGTTTTCTGCGTGTTCGGGAAGGTTTGGAACGTCCTCCTCCTCCTCCTCCTCCTCCTCCTCCTCTTCCTCCTCCTGCTCCTCCTGCTCCTCCTGCTTCTCCTCCTCCTCCTCCTCCTCCTCCTCCTCCTCCTCCTCTTCCTCCTCCTCCTCATCCTCCTCCTCCTCCTCATCCTCCTCCCCCTCCTCCTCCCTCGAGGAGGAGGAGGAGGAGGAGGAGGAGCGGGAGGATCGAGCCTTTCGAGCCTTCTGAGAAGGCCCGCCCCTTCCCACTTTTCCTCCCCAAGGCGCGCCGCCGATTCTGCTTCGGAAGCAAGTCATGGGTGCCTTCTATACTCTCCCAATTCAGCTGTTACGTTACACCCTCGTCGATTCGCGTCCGCTAATCGATGAGATAGCGCCGATATTAGCGTCCAGCAGCGTGGATTGGCGTCGACTCGTCCCAATTAGCGTCGATTCGCAAAAGCCAGCAAGATGGTACGGGAGGCTCCCGAGAGCTGCCGCAAAAGATGTGTCTCAATGCTCGGTGGGCAGATGGTAGTGCGTCCACCTCGCCGGCACTGGCAGGTCTGGGTGGGATGTCAGGGGCAACGCTCGTCGAAGAGGAACAGACGGCACAAGCAGGAACGTTCGAGGATCCGCGCGGATTCCTTTGGTCTGCGCTCCGGGCCCCGCGCGGCGCGTCCAGCGCCGCCCCCGCACCGCGCGCCAGGCGTGGGGCTTCAGCGCAGGTCCGAGGCACCCGAGCGAAGCCACGAAAGTTTTTGAGGCCGTGCCGCTGTTCGTTTCTCCAGGAGGAGGGGGAGGAGAAGGAGGAGGAGGAGGAGGAGGAGGAGGAGGAGGAGGAGGAGGGGGAGGGGGAGGGGGAGGGGGAGGGTTGGTGTTCGTTTCTCCAGTTGGAGGGGCGGGGAGGCCCCGGGAGGGGTGCATCGACGCTCCGTCTCCCAGTCCTCGCCGACGGGGGCCCGACGGCTCACCCCGCCCAGGACGACGACGACGACGACGACGACGACGACGACGACGACGGCGACCAGGACGACGGCGACGACGACGACGATGACGACGACGGCGGCGACGACGATGCCGACGACGACGATACCGAAGCTGCCGACCGCCGCCGGCCCAGGACTGCTGCAGGACGGCCCCCAGGACCGTGCGGATTCGCTCTCGGGGGCCCTTCGCCGATCGGACTATCGGCGGCGTATCGCCGGAGTCAAGCTCGAGGTTCCCCCCCCCCCTGAGCTGCCCCGCTTTTTCAGCGTTGCCCCTCAGAGAGGGGAGGATGCACGCCGTCGGGAGCCTCTCCCAAACACGGGCTGGCTGGAGAAGAGAAGGGTATAAGAGAGGAGGAGGGGGGGTTAATGGTCGGAATCAGTTCCAACAGCAGCGAGGTTGCGGAGGAAGAGACCAGAAGGAGAGCAAGGACGGGGGAGGGGGAAGGGAGGGAGGGATGAGAAGAGGGTGCGAGGAAGGAGGGAGGAAGGGAGAAAGAGAAGCAGGAGTAAAGAGGAGAAGAAGGGGACGAGGGGGAGGAGAAGGAGGAGGAGGAGGAGGGAAGAGAAGGAAGGAGGACGGAGACGGGGGAGGAAGAAGAGCCCCTCCTCGTCGTCCCCCTCCTCGATGGGCGGAGAGGGCGGCGCAGGCGCACTCCTTCTGCCCTGCGCTGCTAAGCCTCTGACTTTTCACCCCTGCACCGAGTGCCCTGGAGCAGGCAGCCGCGTGTACTTTTTTGAGCAGCTCCGGAGCCGCAAACACCTGCTTCTCCTCCGTCTGCCCCAGCACTCCAGCGCTGTCCGTTTTCCCAACGTGGGCCCCCGGAGGTCCCGACTCGTTCCCCAGAAGGAGGTCGAGGACCCGCTCCTCGCCCTCCTCCTCCCCGAGTGTTACCATGATCATCGTCCTCCTCCCCAGACCTCCGACGTCGCGTTCTTCCCCAAACAAGATTGTGTCGCGCTCTCGTTTTGAATAGAACACTGCTCGCGTGTCTTCACCTCACCCCGCCTCCTCACCCGTCTGCCATCTGCAACGGGCGCCACATTCGTGTGCTCCAGCGGAGTGGAAGCGCATGCTGATCTAGACGACACCTCGCGGCTCGCCTTGGGGGCTGCCAATTGCGCAACCGTTGCCATGTTCTTGGGCTTCTGGGAGGCCCAGCGGGGTGGAGGTGTACGCAGATCCAGACGAGACCTCGCGGCTACCCGTGGGGACTGTTACCTTGGCAATTGTCGTCACATTCGTGGGCCAATGGGAGGTCCAGCAGAGTGGGGATGCACGCAGATCCAGACGAGACCTCGCGGCTTTACCAATAGTTTGGCTGGAACTCCAATGCGCTCCGCCCAACTCGCATCTGGATGAGGAGGAGAATGAGGAGGATAATGCGGAGGAGGAGGAGGAGGAAGAAGAGGAGGAGTAGGAGGAGGAGGAGGAGGAAGGGGAGAAGGAAGAGGATAATGATGAGGAGACAGTTGAGAAGGAAGAGATGACGACGACGAGGAGGAGAAGGGTAAAGGGAGAGTGAGTTTCTCTCTCTCTCTCTATATATATATATGTATATGCCTTCTCCGCCGGCAAACAACAAAACAATTGCGGGGGTCCTAAACCGAATCACCAATGGAGGCCCGGACACCAAAAGCTGCAATCCAAAAACAGACATGCCGTCGCGGCGACCCCGTGTCTGCTCCTGCCGTTCTTTGCTGCTGCAGCTTCCTGGTTCCTGCTCGTCCCCATCGGGTCCCTCCTGGGCCCGCTGGGACCATCAAGAGACGACTCGGGACGAGGCGGAGGCGAAGGAGAAGGAGGAGGAGGAGGAGGAGGAGGAGGAGGAGGAGGAGGGAGGGAGGAGGAGGAGGAGGAGGAGGAAGAGGAGGAGGAGCAGGAGGGCGGGGAGGCGAAAAGGGAGGTCTCTTCTTCTTCTTCTGAGGAGGGATTCGTCATTTCAGGAGGATGGAGAGGAGGAGGATGAGGAGGAGGAGGAGGGGGGTAGGAGGAGAGAGGAGGCTTCCTTGCTTATTTTGGTATGATGGGAGAGGGCTTTTCCCGAGGGAGAGGACGACGACGACTCGGGATGAAAGGCTGTCCAAACACACGGGGCCGCCCACGAAACCCCCTCCGAGGCGGCCACGAGGCGCTAACGTGGCGACCCCTCGGCGGACCCACCCCTGGGCACTGGGCGCCCACGAGGCGGTCCTCCTCCTCCTCCATCCTCCTCCTCCTCCTCCCCCCTCCCTCCCTCCCCCCCTCCCCTCCCTGCCTCCCTCCCTCCTCCCTCCCTCCCTCCCTCCCTCCCTCCCTCCCTCCTCCTCCTCCTCCTCCTCTCCTCCTCCTCCTCCTCCTCCTCCTCCTCCTACTCCTCCTCCTCCTCCTCCTCCTCCTCCTCCTCCTCCTCCGCCTCCTCCCTCCTCCTCCTCCTCCTCCTCCTCCTCCCCCCTCTCCCTCCTCCTCCTCCTCCTCCTCCTCCTCCTCCTCCTTCTCCTCCTTCTCCTCCTCCTCCTTGTCCTCAGAACACGGGGTTCCCCCCAGGCAGCACGGGCGCAAACGTGGCGAGTCCTCGGCGGACTCGCCCAGGGCATGGGACGCCCACGAGCGCCCACGTGTTACGTGTTGGCAAGGGGGGGGGCGTGGAGAACCCTCGGCGGACCCTCCCGAACCCCTACTTGTGAGCACGCTTCGGTCGGTTCGGCTGCGCCGCAGCCGGTTGGCTTCGGTCTCTTCGGGTCGGTCGCTCGTCGTGTCGTGGCTGCGTCGCTGAGCCTTTCTGATTTCGGTCGGCGTCGATTTCGCTGTCGGCTCGGTCGGTGTTCGGTCGTGCGGTCGCCGTGGGCGTCTGTGGGTGAGGACCTGCTGGCTCCGCCCCAAGCCCGCGCGAGGCCTCCCACCCAGCGCGACATCAACTAGGTGTTCCTCTGGCCCCGAGCAGTTCGAGTCAGAAAGCCATGCAGTGCAATGCAAAGCATTGCTGGGCACTCCTTGGCGTTGCTTGGTGTTGATTGGCGTTGTCTGGCGTAGCTTGGCACCTGGATTTGCTTGACACTGCTTGGCAGTGGTCGGCATTGGTTGGCGTTGCTTGGCAAAGGTTGGCATTGCTTGGCATTGCCATCGCCCTGCGTTGCTTGGCATTGTCTGGCGTTCCTTGGCAACGCGGGCAATCCCGAGCAACCCCCGGGGAACGCTGGGCAACCCTGGCAGCCCGGAGCAACCCCTGGGAGCGCCAGGCAACTGGACAAGGCAGCAACCCAGGGAACGCCAGGGGCCGCCTCTCAAATCCGACTCCGTACCCATGGGCACCGGCTCCTTTCGTGGTGAAACAAACGAAACATGATCTAGCAGAGCCCATTTGGGGGACAAATCGAGAACATGAGGCTCTCTTCGCCACGAGCTTTGCAGGAGGAGGAGGAGGAGGAGGAGGAGGAGGAACAGCAGGAGGAGCTGCAGGAGGAGCAGCCGCAGCAGCAGCAGCAGCAGCAGCAGGAGGAGGGGCCGCGGGAGCGGGGACGGGGAGAGCGGAGGTGTCGATGGAGCTCGCTCTCGCCCGGCCCGGTGCCCAGCTGGTCCTGGCTGGCGGATCGGGGGCCGGGCGCACGGACGGACGTTGGAGGCTGGAGCCAGTTGTGGGCCTGGGGTGGCCCTGCATACTCCAGATCCTTCCATGAGCACCCCCGCCCGTGCCCACCTGTCCGACGCCCCTTGCCCGCCCCCCCACGCGCCCCAAACCCACCCCCGCTCGCTCCCCGACCTCCCCACGCTCCCCGAAGGACAGCGGCTTCCCCACCCCCCC